ATATATATATATATATATATCCCAATTAAATACTGCTATATAATGTCACAGGTAGCTGTTTCCCCACTCTTAGCTGCGCATTAAATAGTAGATAGTTTTGTTTAAAATTGCATTTGCACAGCTATGTGCTTCGAAATTAATTTAATTGCGCGTTACGTTCCCGGCATGATATCGGGATTACCGATCGGGAATACCGATTTTTTTTATTTCGATTGACAAATTCATCACTTGAATGAAGGAACGGAACCGATTATATGTGCGTATCTCTTATCACTTTAGTCAAGCTTCATTTCATTATATTCTGCACTGTAAGAGATCGAAAGGAGAAAATCAATTATCAGTATCGGTTCGATTTACCTTCGAAGCAAGATAAATCGAAAAGTCAGTCTTTAGACATGTAAAAGCACCGATCTTCATTGTTGTATCGATCAGTCTTTCTTTCTTCAGAGACGAATTTTCCAGACAAACAGATTTGCATCAATTAAGATTATTTCCATAGCAGTAACCTGATCATTTTTCTCGATGCTTCATAAAACAATCAAAATGATCTATTCTTATAATATTATTCACTGTTCAGCAATATAATTCTTAAAAATCGCTATATTTTTATATAATTTTAATTATATTTTGATAGGGCATCGGTTAAAGAATAACCGCTCAGTCCGCAGAATTTTTGTTACGTGTTTCTTGTCGTTTTCTTCCATGTTGTCGCTCACGTTTTATAGCTTTGCCTTCAACTTTTTTCTGATGTTCCTTGGCTGAAATCGAAGTTGATGGTTTCGATATCTGGGGAGATGATTGCCCCAGAGAAGCCTCTTGTCACCTAAGACTGATTAGCACTTTCTCTACGTTTAACAGAGATTTCACCTTGTCGTTGTACTTGATAAGAATGACCTTAGAACCACGCACATTAATCCTTTCGCCGCCGCTCAACAGATGACAACAACGAGATTGTTCCAAGAAATCTGGCAACTTTAGCTCACGCATGACCTCACGATGAGCGATTGCAGGCGGTCCAGAATGTGCTTTCGGATTAATTTGACGGAGAAGAGCATCGCGACTCTTTATCTTCAAAATCGCCATGAGATCTTGAAGCAGCACCCATTTGTCAGGATCGTTGTTCAAGGTGAACAAGACAGGCAAGTTGATGTCGCTTACTTCCATTTCGATATCATCTAGTTCATCTGATTCAGGATTGTCCGATGGAACATCATCGAGCGGATTGTAACCCGTCTCTTCTGGATCTGAAAAGAATTCCATAGAAGATTAAAAATATATTTGGAATTTATATATATGATATTCACAAAACTTTTAAGAATTCTGAAGAATTTGTGCTAATAATAACGTACCAAAAATTGAAGATGGACCAGCGAATGACCATGGCACGGTGGTACGACCTTGGATGTCAGCCAGGTGCTGTTCTAGAATGACATTAGCATCGGTATCAACAGCTAACATCAAAGGCGTTTGTCCGGAATAAGTAGCCAACAATGGATCGGCACCGTACGACAATAGCAATCGCACAAGTTCTGTAGCACCATTTTCCGCCGCTTCATGAAGTGGTCTAATAATATATATATAACTCTCATCATAATCTATAATCGCCTATACATTTATCAAATTACTCGTCGATTTAACAGGAAAGTTATCATAAAAAATTTAACGAAAGTATTACCTAATACCACCATTAGCACTCTCGCTTACGTTCGCACCGTAAGCCAGTAAGAGTTTTGCGATCTCCAGATGACCCTTGGAGCACGCCTCATGAAGTGGTGTATATCCTGCGTTGTCTTTAGGACTCGGCGCACTATTGAGCTTTTCCAGACAATAAGCAGTCACATCCTGCGGCGGAATATACGCAGATTAGATAATTCGCGTAAATCGTTAATTTTGTCGCATGACGTAACAATGTGATTATTATCTTACTGTGTAACCGAGACGGGCAGCGCGGTGTAATATGGTTTCCCCGACGCCCTTCTTGATAACCCACGTTCTAATCTCAGATTGAATATCGGCTACGCACTCCGGGCTTGGTTTGTTAGCTTGACTTTGCTGTAAAGTGAAATATCGCATTTCAAAATAATATTAAAAATTATATTAATAATATTAAAAAAATAACGTATAAAAATTTTAAAGAAATGGAAGCCAACGAATTGGACAAAAATATATGTAAAAATGTGAAATATATACATACTCTCTTCCTTTCCTTTGGCAATGCCTCATCTTTTTTTAATGGCTTCTTCTTCTTACGGATATAATCAAATCCAGAACGGAATTTTCGTCGGCCAGGTCGAAGTTTCAACTTCTTTTTATTACGAATCTCCAAATCGTTCTTATCATCTTCCATCTCGTTATTTTCCTCTTCTCTGATATCATTTGTCTCTTCTTGCTCTATTTCACTCTTAATACGATGTAGTTTCTTATTAGCAAGTGATTTGAGAAGATCCTTTCGCCTTTCAGCAGTTAATAGATGACGTTTCGAATTCGCAATAGCTTTGTGACTTCGTAGTATACCAGCGTTCCTCAAACGAGACACGACTTTTTGTTTTAATGTTCGTACCTTACCTAATGCATTCTCCGGCGTTTCATTCTGCGAATCGTCATCTTGCGATGTGTCATCGCGATTCTGCATCGGCGGAGCTGACGCAGGCCTATCCTCGCCGAACACTTCACGAATAGTAGTTTCCTTCTTCAAGACTTTCGTCTCCGTTCTGGTTCTACTCTTCAATACTAGAGTGGAGAATTCATTGGGCAATGTGTGATTGTTCTTGAATGCGTCACGGAAATTATTCACCGTCTCTTTGCGGAAATAACCGAGGAGGACGGAATTGGTAACTTTAATCGGGTTTCTATTATTCTTCAACGCAATCTTGTTTTTAGGACTCTTTGATGTTTCGGACAGAAGCGGTGCAAGACTTGGTGTTGGTAAAAGTTCCGGTTCGTTATTGCTTTTATTAACGTTACTGCTCTTATTACTTTTCAGATTCTGTTTCTTTTTTGAATCTTTCTGACCACCACCGACTTTCTGTGCGAGAACATCGACAATAGAATTGTTATCCGATCGGAAATGTTTCATTGCCTTCGGAGGACAAGAAACTGTTGTTGATGAAGTCGCCTCTTCGTCATCAATCTTACTGCCAAGTCCCATAATGCTGAAACTGTAATTAGATTCCATGTCACTGTCTCTCTTATTACGGCTGAGACACACGTCGGAACTATCCATCGAGACAGACAATGCAGGCGAACCAGGATCTAAATCTGGCAATGACGTGGATAGTCGGTGAAAACGCGATGGTTTTGACACTGTAATCAATCTGGGTGGCATTCTTAGAGATTTTTTGTAAACGTAAACCTCCTCTTCCCAACCAGGTCTAAAATCACTACCGTCACCGAACAACGGTTTCGGCTTCGCTTTTTGAGACGTTCCACCTTTAGGAGGCGACAATTTGGATTCTTTCTCTGTTTTTGCCTTATGAGGAGTAGTGTCTCTCGAACGAAGCTTCATACCTTCAGACACATTAGCTATAGATCGTTTCCTAGCTCGAAGTCTGTCAGCAACTGAAGAACCATGACCAAATACGGTACTGGCATCACTGTCCTCGCTCGAGGATTCGCTACCGCTAGAAGATTCAAGCTTGATCCTACGAATTCGTCTTCTTCGGCATATCACTTCTTCTTCATCGCAATCACTATCTTCCTTCTTCACTTCCTGTCTTGTTCTTTTAATTAACGGTACTTCGTCTGAATCATCGCTTGAGTGTTTATCGTCTTCCTTTCTCAACCCGGGCTCCATCTTAATCTTAACATCCTTGAAAATCGAATTTTTATCATCCTTATTAGATAAATCATTAGATGTCTCCTTTTTGATATCTTCGGGCTTGATTCGAGAATGTGATGCATTGATATCCGATTCTTTATCGCTATCGTTAACTGCGTCTTCAAGTTTCGATGTTGCGATACCACTCACTTTTTTTCTACGTCCACGTTTCTTTACGGCATCGCCCGCGCGTAATTGCTCCATAAACTTATCACAGGTGTTATTCCAGAATGGATCCATGTCGTTAATTTTATCATTCTCCTGCAAACAAAAATTATATCTATTAATAAATTAGAATTATAAATATAATTATAATGTAAGTAAAAACGCACGATGACTAGAATTTTTAAAGACAAAAAGAAAGAATTTAAACATATATTTTACACAATATTATAGCAGTAAGTATAAAGTTTAATAGAAAAAGCTATGAAGGAAATCATATGTGAAAAAATCGTATTATATGATATATATCGTGCGCGGCGATTTTTATCAAAAACTATTCAAAATATTGCAAAAGGCTTATGGCGATGATTGCAACATTTTAAATGAGTTTGTGAACGAAATTTCATTCATAATGCAAAATTTCAAACAAATTCTTTGCTCGATAAAAATTGCCGCGCACAAAAATCTTTACTGACATAAACAACTGTCATTCTCAAACAGCTTAAAGAAACGCCATGTTTTTTTTACTAAATGTGAAGGACATAAGTACAAACTTAGCAAAGCTAAAACGAATTTGATTTACAATTTTCCTACTAATTTTTAAAAAATAAAATTCGAATACTTTTTGATCACAGTAGTATTATAAATATTATCTTTTCCATTTGCTCCCAATATATGTACATATATACATACAGGAATGGCAAGTAACTTGTAATTTACGTCGTTAATTTTGCTCTCTTACTTCATTATAACGATTTAATAATGATGTTGCGAATTTTTTATAACGTTAATAATACCAAGATTGGAATAGTTACTCGTTACTTATAAGGAATTGAAAAAAATCGCACACACAGAAAACTCATTAATGAAAAAGTAATGAGTTACTTGTAACTCGTTACTTTTATTTTTTATTTTTTAATAAATATTGTGTAATGATGACGAGTTACTTTTTAAAAATGACTTTCCTAACTTTAGCATAATCTTAACGTTAAGAATTACATAAAAAATTGTAAAATCATTACTAAATTGTTATTATAAAAAATAACGGTGTAAAAATGACAGTGTTATTTAACTTACCAACTTAAATATGATCTTCATAAAACATACAAAAATAAAAACGTTTGATAAAAATATAAAAATAGTTTTGTTTCTTTCTTAAACAAACAATGTAAATTATAACACAATACGACAAAAATCGATTTTCTTTTTCTTCCATGAAAAAATCAAAGAGATTTTAAAAATAGATGTAAAAAAACTTGAGCTGATAAAACGCCAAGACATGGGTATATTTTTTTTACATCTACTTTCAGAATCTCTTTGATTTTTTCACGGGAGAGAAATGTGTATTGTATTGTGTACTATATCTTAATATAAATAGTGAATACATAAAGATTCTATAAATAGAGAATAAGTGAGATATACAGATGGCATATATACCACTTTAAAATAATTCATTGAATTTATCGCGCGTATATCTATATATATATAGTATTAAAGAAAAATTATTCTTGAAGGAAAAAGAACAGTTAATGTGTTACTGACACAAATGAATTCAATTATTACTAACTAAAAGACTCCATCTTTGCATTTCAGTCACATAAATTGAATAATTCGTTTATATCCTTCTTCATTTTAAATTTCTTTTTATCCATTTCTGTACATTACCTTTAGCTCTATCTTCACGAGATCCGTAGAAGATGCCATATTCATACATACAGCGTCATTGAGAGGTATCGGAGGTTGCACTTTGGATAACTGCTTTCTATCTCTTCTCATTTCCTCCAAGGTTTGTCGCTCGAGAACTGGCATCTCGCTTTCGGAATCACTCTCCCGGAAATCAAAGACTGATGTTTCGGAAGAGCTCCTACATCCACTCGCCCTAGCTGGAACTGTGGACGCGACCGTGGCGGCAACAGGCACGGTTACCGGTACGTTATCCTCATCAGTTCTCGAAAACAAACGTCTTCTGGGCGGCAAAGAGACCGTTTTCTCGCGTGTTAATTTCGGTGGACTACCTGCGGACGAACCAGACTGTGGTGTCGACGTCGAAGCCGCACTATCGATTTCTGTGTGCATAATATAAAAATTATATGCATATCTCAAAGGTAATATTAACTGTAGCACAATCAACTAATTGAATAAACAGCACAATTATTATGCAAACTGTGATCGAGACGAATAGAAAAAAAAATCGAATCGAATCAAATCGACATGAAAATATCATTAAAATAATATCTATAATATTTAACTACTAGCATCTTTTACGCTAGATAACACTAAATTACCTCTCGGCGTCGATGACACATCTTGAGAAGGTATGGAAGATGTTTTCGTTGTAAATTGGCCGGTTCCGACCTAAATGAAAGGTATAAATTATGAAATCGATAATTAACATACAATTGTGCAAATCAATTAGAGTTAAGTAGAGACAACCACATACTTGTTTCAGTTCCGCCTTCGTCCTGATCTTCGCAGCTAAGATAGCGGCAAGACCGTCGTCCTTGTCACGATGGATTTGGTTCTCGGCGCCACGTGGTCCCGCGAGGGAGGCTTCCTTGCCGGGTAGCGTGGCAGATGCGTTCACTCTTGAGGCATACATGCTACGTGGCACTTCCTGAGTGATCGAGTCTATTGCTCGTGGAACGTGCAACTTGTAATGTGGCGGTGTATTGCTGTTACGCTCGAGCAAACTCGCCGCCGTGAATGGTGACAGATTGTGCCTGCCGATGCTCTTGGGCTCGACTGGTGCGACGACCTGAGGGAATTTCACGGAAATTATCAGAAACGTCATATAGACGCCGAGCGTCTGGAAATCAGACAAAGATATAAATAGAAATACTAAGTGAAATCGTCGCGTCGTATGTTTTCATTTCCAACTACAATTCACATTATTTGATATTTTGATTTTATGCGCAAAGATTAATGAATTATTGATAACAAAAAAACTTGCATATTCGATAGCAAAAATAAAACTTGCAATTTCTTACCTTATTCTGGAAGCTCTGTTGACTATGATTAACCAAAATAGGCTGCTGACTATTGAGCTGTTCATCCCTTTGTTGCTTGTTTTCCAAGCTGTTCCTCAGCAAGTTGAGCACCCTCTTGTCGGCACCAGTATTGCTAGGTTGATCTATCGATTGGCCACTGGACATCCCGCTCGAGGGACATGCTATTTTCTGAATGGACTGGCGATAATTTGGGTAGGTAAGTTGTGCACTGCTCAATTGTTGCGGTAATGGATGTACACTCGCGGATTTCGAAATAACTGGATTGTACGATGGCGAACTGCGTATGATTTTGGACTCCGGATAGGTCCTTTTATCACAGTACACCGATTGATATCTGGATTCTGGCATTGAATAACTACCGTTGTCGGTTCTATGATCGCTAGATGTCGTCAGAGCTCCATTTGGCAAAGGAACCGACAAATTCATTTCTTGCCGTTTTTGCTGTTCATTCTGCACACCTGTAGTCGATAGTTTCGACTCAACTATTTGTTTATCGGTATTCGGTACTCGCCAAGCAGCTCTGGCCTGTTTGTTAGGATTCCCTATACCATAAATCGCCTCTCCAGCTCTTTTGAGTGACCGTTCGCGCTGAGGAAATTGCTGATCGAACTTTGCCCTACTGTCCGCTAAATAATAGCTCGAGTCGGGTGGATAATCTTGTGCGGGCAATGTGGGCGGACCAAGTCGTGGAGATGTATCCATCATTGAGTGATACTTGGAAAACCTCGAGGATACAGAATCATTTGTTTGGAGGTATGATGAAGACGCAGACGTCGATGACGATGAGGACGGTGGCGGTGGTATCGTCAGACCGTCGTACGGCGACGTGGGCAGTGGACGTTTCTTGAACGTAGACATATGAGGCAGTGGAGAAGTGTTAGTGTGATGGGATGAGAGAGGCTGGGCGGATGGAACGTAAAGCTGCTGCGGATGCTGCGGAGTACTTCTGCGAAGAGAACTGTCGTGGTGCGGTTGACGTAGCGGCGTTGAAGTAAAATCTGGCAGAAAGTCGACTTTGGGCGCACACACCGTTTGAGGCGTCGATGCCCGAACGCAGGTCACTTGCATGGAATTCCTCGAACTGTTACTCGAAGGCCTATCATACGACGCGTATGACGGTTGTACCGGTGCCGATTGATGCATAACAGCTGGAGGTGGCATCGACCTGTTCACATTGTTCCTAGATGAACTCAGATTTGAGCTACTGACGTGTTTGTCGGTGCTGACAGTCTCAAGATCATCCTGTGCTGTAGAATCAGCCGATGTCTTAACTGTTTTTACAGACAAGTCCAGAGGAGATTCTCTTTTCCGAACTGCATTACTCGGCGACGGAGAACTTGCCATAGTGACGACCGAAGTTGCTTGATTACCGGATGATGCTGGATTCTGATAAGAGTGTTCTTTATAGGTATAGCCTTCAGTCGTTATTCGTGTCGGTGGCTGATGATATGACGATGATCCCGCTGACCGATCCGACTCATCGGAAGACTGATACGCATGGATCGATGGAACGGAAGACCTCGCACCACCTGAACCACCATGACTACTGATAGTCGTTACTGTAGTGCTATTAGCGGAATTGTTACCATGATGACTGGGCGCTATTGTGGTGGCATATGTCGATGATGGGTAGCTTTGTTGGCCAGTATATCGCGAACCATACGTCATGTTCGTCACAGTGGTTGTTCTACCATTCACCGGTATCGCGTGATTTATAGCCGAGACCGAAGTCATTGGATACTCGGCAAGCCTCTGAGGAGGCATCGTTATAGACGAAGGGGGTATCACGACGGACGGGATTTTGTTGGTTGCATTCGTCGAATGTATTCGTTGTCGTACTGTTGTTTGCGCCGACTTTCCCAATAGTTCTCGCCTGTTGGAATGATAAGACGAAAGAGCGGCGATAGGCGGCAGGTTGTGCGTATTACCACTCCTCTGCGTGGGTGACCGATGCGTACCATAAGGTATCGCCGTAACGTCAATCGCTCCTCTCTTCGTAGCGTCTGCACCGTTATACGTCGCGTGCTTGCTGACATTTTGCTGATAGCTACCTAGGTTGTTGTTACCGGGAGTATTAGGGTATACCGTCTGCGGTACCAGCATCTGCTGCATACTGTAAGACTGATTGTGAGACCGACTTGGCTGAGAATAGTAGTTATTCCCCTGAGACTCCGGTTGTGGGTTCTTCTGGAAGGAATGGTACGAAGATTGGGACGGTGGCGGCGGTGCGTAAGGCAACCCCATCGCCGCGTCACGAACCGCCGCCACGTAATTCGTTTGATAGTGTTGCGAAGTGACCGGTGGCAGATTATACGATTGTGATGTCGACCTTGACGAAGCCGAAGACTGCTGCTGCTGTTGCTGCTGCGGTGGTGGTGGCGGAGGCGGTGGTGGTGGATAAGTCGGCGAATGTGGCTGGAAGCTGTTGTGCGGCGAAGGTGTGTGATGAGGAGATGGGGAGGCATGTGGATTGTGCAGGCTAGACACGTGGGGTGACTGCCGTTGTGGCGATGGAGTCGCGTGATGCGGCGACGGAGTAGCGTGACGTGGCGATGGTTCGTGATGCGGTGATGGCGTCGTTCCTACATGGTATCCACTCGGGGGTGGTGGCATCTGTTGCTGCTGCGAATGGTTCGCCGCCATGGCGACAGAGGAGGATGAAACACCGTGTGGTGGAAGCGGCACTATGCGGCCTCCATATGAGGAACCGTGGGAGTGTGGCGATGCATTTATACGACTAGGATGTTGCTGCTGCTGCTGCTGCTGCTGCTGCTGCTGCTGTTGCTGCTGCTGCTGCTGCTGCTGCTGTTGCTGCTGCTGTAGAGATGATGATTGTTGCTGCTGCTGCTGCTGCTGCTGCTGCTGCTGCTGCTGCTGCTGCTGCTGCTGCTGCTGCTGCTGCTGCTGCTGCTGCTGCTGCTGCTGCTGTTGCTGCTGCTGCTGCTGGTGCTGCTGCTGATGATGATGATAGAGTACCGAGGTGGCAGCGGACGGCAGATGCGGTGAAGGAATGTGACCCGGAAGATTCTGCGACTGCGATTGCAAAGGAATGTGATTGGAGGAGGCGTTTCCTGGTCCAGGCTGACGCGGACTGATCGCCTGCGACGATGAAGAGCAAGCGGCGGTGGAAGAGTGCAACCCGTCCGAATTATGGGACCTGTCGTTGACGCTCGAAGCGGTCAGACGATGGGCCTGCTGCTGATACTGATTCGTGGGACGGTAATTCTGAGAGGATGAAGAAGAGGAACCAGATCCATATGAGGATCCGTTGAGAGAACTCTGAGCGAGTGGCATGTTGTTGCCATAAGTACCAGGTATTCGTTGCTGTTCCGGTGGACAATGTCCTTGGGTAACGACGTTGGATGATGCCGTTGTATTATTCTGCTCTATTGGCGTCGGTCTTGTGCTCGGTTGTTGAACCATACTCAGAGACTGCGCTACATTGGCGGACTGATAAATAGAACTCTGCGAATACGGAGCCGGTGCGCATTTCGTGATGTCTGGGTGATGGTAGCGTGGATAGTACTGAGTCCTCTGCGCAACAATCGGCTGCGATTGCCTATCGTTATTAGCGGCCTGATACGTTGAAGCAGAGTGCGATGAGGAAGAGGCGAGCATCTCTGCCGCACTGAAGGACGTCCTGCTGACATTACTAAGTTGCTGGTACACTGGTCCAGGGGAATGTGGCGGTTGGGGCGGTTGCATCTGATGCAAATGCGATGACGAATTCAACGTTGAAAGATGAGATTGATGATGGTGATGATTGTGATCGCTGGAGGACGAGGTGGTCGACGATGATGATGATGTTAGTGGCGGTCTTTGCGAAAAATTCGACGATGATGTGGCAGCGGAGGAGGTGGAGGAGGAGGAGGAGAATTGATAATTCGAAGGCTGCATCTCGGTTAAAGTGATAGTGCCCGAGGAGGAGCTGGGCTCCATGGCGGAGCCTTCGTCGCCTGGCCTCGTATCTGGGACTTCGACCCTAGTCGGCTGCGGCGCATATGGCTCCACGTGTGGATTCCAGAAGCTAGATCCGGCAGTCGCATTGCTACTCTCCACGGACGACGAAGGTCTAACATCGGCAGGGTAACGATTCGACTCTTGGATATTGCTATTGCTGCTGCTGCTATTGGCGGAAGTCGAAATTGACTGAGTTGATTGTGTCGGCTGTGACGGTACATCATGATCATGCGTTGTCACCGATGTGGACGAGGCGGGATTCGTGGAGGATGTCGAGTGGAGATTGTGATCCACCGACGTGGCCGCGCCACTACCTGTACTCGGTACGGGCAGTCCCTGGAAGTACTGGCGAGCCCCCTCTAACACGTTCGTGAAGCTCACATCCATGTCACGCCAACTGCTAATCTGCAATGACAAAGCAATTATGGATTGAAAATTTCGTTAAAATTTGTCGTGTTGTGGAATATAACCTTAAATCTATGTAGATAAGTACGCACTAGAAGCTAAATAAGAAAATGTATAATTTTGTCAAAATTTATCTTATCTAATCAATTTTTTCAGAAGCAAATATGTCTTATCCTCGTATAAAACAATTACACCGTGATGATTATTCATAAATTATTTTGTAAATTTCGTAAATTGATAAACAAAATTATGTCATTCTTGTTTCGCAATAGAAAATTATTGTCAAAATTGATGGATCAAAAACAAGGTTACCTTCTACGCAGAATATTATAATTATCTACAGAAATTATTCACAACGAGCCATTTCGATTAGGACTGATTGAGCTTAAATATAACAATAATATCGCATTCATTCTAAAAATCAACATTCAGAATTAGTCAAAGACAAAATCATCGTTCACGTTAAATCATTGAGAAGATTCGTCAACTATAGTAAATTTAAGGTCAGGGTTATAAGAGCGCGGAGTTCCCCAAAGTCGAGTCCGAAGGGACACTTCTCTTGGGGATTACCGAAATGTTCACACGATACCGTCGACCGGCTAGCAGAGGAGGAGAGAATGAGGTCGAAACATTAATCTTCATTGTCTTGTATTTGTCTGTTACAAGAGGCAGACGTATTCCCATCCCGTTCCCTTCATCTTCGATCTCGACCAGGCAACTTCGATCTCGCATTATTAATCTCGTAGCATTATGAAAGATAAAGATCTTGCGCGGTAACCTGCCGAAGGAACGGCAAAGTTGGCAAGAGAACCTATCAGACTATTCGACATCGCGCAAACACACATAAATTCATCTTCAATGAATTCAGAGATTAATAAAAAAAAAGAGACACTGTAATTAGACGTACGTCGTCGAGGAGATCAAAATTAGTTATTTTTCGTACAAGTTTAACTATGATGCCTCGATGATGCATATAATAATTCGCCGTAACATATATCGCGAGCATTCTCTATTATCGAGTATGTATAAAAAAATCTTGATGTTTAACGCATTCTCACTTTTTATCATAACCGATAATCACTTTTTATTTGGGGGAGAAGGAGACGACTTTCGAGAGAGGATGAGCTGTATCGCGTTCAGTAGTTCCACAGGAGTTTCGGTTATCATAATAGAGCAGAACTGTGCGCCCGTTATTACCATCACCATCATCGCGAGGCAAATAGCCTCTTCAGCGATCGGTGAGACGTCGAAGACTCCCGTCATCCTCCACTCGAGGAGTCAGCCGCCTGTAATATAGATCGCTATCGATCCGAGCCGGTCGATAGAGAAAGAGAGAGGGGGGGGGGGGGGGGGGGGGGGGGGGGTGGCGAGCATACATGTGTTTGGTGTCGGTGTACGGGCGCTCGTTCGCGTCGTGGCTCATTGAGACGTGGAAAAAGGGACGCAGAAGTTAGATATCGGAAAGCTGTAAACGTATATAACGCGGGAAGCCGTACGTACTGGGACACGCGCCAACACCACTGTAACTTCCACCACCGCGCTCGAAATAACTGGCAACGGAGCGAGACAACGAAGCACGAATAATCGCGGGTATCGATGTGAAGATCGGGTTCCTCTCGAATATCGCTTAATCGTGACACTCAAAGCAACACATAACTGTAATCTCGCTCGAACAATCATTAAATCATTGACTGATAAAGAATTAAAGAATCATCCAAGTATCAATAGAACTTCCAAAAGACATGAAAAAGATAAATTGTACATTCTTTCATGATGTAAACAACTTGTTGATGCAGTTTATCCTTTAATTTTTTACGTACCTTTATGTGCCGCAGCAATATTGAGCTTTGTATAATTTATATGTATAATTTCGTTGGCATATTATATCATGTATAATATATGATATTAATTGAACTATTATACTATAATATATGATAATAGTTTACATCCCTTTATAGGATTAGAACAATACTGTACGCATTTTAGGGCTTTGCGGGAAACGCGTGTTATAATATGTGCAATATAATGTGGCTCGTACCAAAAACAAGTCGAATTAATCATCCTCGTGGACAGTAGGTGACTCGGGAAAGTAACGGGGCTTCCTTCCTTGGACGAAATCATATATGTACTATTGGCTAGAGTCGCAAAATACATAACACCGAGCTCCCACGTTCAGTGTAAATGTTAGGTAGGAATCAATATCGCGCACCCTTGCCGAGCAACCTGAAGGGCTGGTCTGGTCCCCTTCGCGCGCCAGTCAAAGACCCCCTCACCCACCTCTTGTCCCGTCTCGTCCCTCCGTCTCCATTCCGTCCCGTTCTCCATTACATTCTGTCCCGTTACCGGGCACACACATTCTCATATGTAATCCCACTCGTATGCTGTACGTACATGGGGAATAGGAGAACGATCATGTGTATGTTACATGCGGGTGGCGGAGGAACGGTTTGGTTGGAATTCTCACGATTTCAAGCATGGCGAGGCCACTCGATAAGGCTACACTGTGAGGTAATAAATATCCGATGCTAAAGCAGTGGCTCCGATGCGCGTTTCGGGGTTCAACCGGAGCGATTTCGAGGCCGCATTTATGCTTGAGTTGTTTTAAAATGAAGGTTCACTCGTTGCCGCCCGATAAGATCCGCGACAAATGGCGGTCGCATCCCTCTTTTCCTCTTTTTTTCTCTTTGACGAGAGAGTGATAAAATTATGTGGCGTACGCGCGGTAACCAGTCTCTATAAATATCACGACTCGCGATGGGAAATGATCGATCATCAGCGATATCCACGATCCCGCGCTTAAAACATTTCCTACGGGAATATCATTTATGGTTGACCTAACGCGCGATTCTCGATAATGAGGATATATTCACTGTTCATGAGCGCACTTGTTAAATACAATATTAATTAATTTAAATGATATTACAATCGATTATAAAGCATGCTAATTATGGTAGCTATGATTAATATTATTATATAAACAGATAAAATTATCTATTTCCGTGTCACAAGATCAAGCTGTAATAATTACAAGCATGATATATTGTGACAATGAACTATCATTTCGTTTGATAATTCTGTTTTTATCGTAACAAGATATCATGTTCATGCGAATTTATCTGTCATTATTACGTCGATTGACTTCACGTTAAAGGGAGAAAGCGGATGCGCTTGCCTAGACTGCGAGTTCGTGAAACGGGGCACCTGAGTCGCGGGGATAGAATGACGCACAAAGGTCCAGAGTTTGCCGGTGGTTTGCAGGTTGACCGTAGATTCGATGTCGAGATAATCCGCTGGCGCTCGATTAAAAGCCGCGCAGCAGGGCGGAACGTGGCGGAAGTACAGAGAGGAGAGCCCGAGCAAAAGGCGAGAGAGACGGAGAATAATGCCTTAAGCTGAGTTAAGCCGCGGCTTAAACGACGGCCACGACACCGCAAGCGTCTCTACCTCTCGCTTAGCCTCTAGCAAGACTAACGAAATCGTTCATGACATCGCGAACTTGTCTCAATCGGTGCGATTAGTTCAAAACCTCATTTAAATCGCTTCGTCCGTTTTCGAATTGAATCCTGAATTTTATTTAGTTATCCTAAATTTTGTGTGTGTGTGTGTGTGTGTGTGTGTGTGTGTGTGTGTGTGCGCGCGCGCGCGCGCGCGCGCGTGCGTGCATACGTGCGTGCGTATGTGTGTGTGGGTGGGTGGGTGGATGGGTGTGTGTACTGGGTAACTGCGAGTTTCGGATCAGAAAGTAAATATAATGGGGCTTTCTACAATAAGCCATTACCTAAATTTAAGTCTTAAGCCATAAGAAATTGACCAATCCAAGTCAAATATGATAAGAATAATCGATATTCTATAATTAGTCAATTTCTTATGACTTAAGATTTAAACTTAGGTAATGGCTTATTGTAGGAAACTCAAATAACATGAATATTATATATTATATCGTTCCATTTTTTAATAGACCAGATAATACGCGCACTAAATTTAAGTTTTAATATTATATACTTACATAAAAACTACACAAATATACAGTACACAAGCATACAGATCAATTAATCTAACCTTTGTGAGCTGTCAAAACACTTCATGCTGACAGCTTACTCTCGCAATATGAAATGAACGAAGAGAGAGAACCAATCAGAATTGTGGAAAAGAGGTAACAATGAACTGACTATCAATTTAACACGCAAATTTTATTATAGGGAAGACTCCTCGCAGTACGAAGTGAACACAAAGAGAGAAAACCAATCAAAATCGTGGAAAAGAGGCAACAATAAATTGATTATCAATTTAACACGCAAATTTTGTTATAGGGAAAATAGGGAAGATAGAAAAAATTAATATTTAACTAACCTTGAGTTATAAAGAACAGGATCGTACTTTTATGTCTTGCACCTTTAATAACATTTATCGAAACGCTATGAAAACAAAAAGTATAGAGCTATCTCACTACGCGTTAACCGATAAAAATTTTATGAGCGTGGTTCAACTCGTTCTAAGTTTACGATTATGACGCAATGTACGCGTATTATCGCGATAACTTCCGATTCCGTTTACGAGAAAGGGTCTGCGAAATTCCAGGATACGCTAACTCTCGCCATCTCGAGTGGAATTATGACGACCGACATGGTCAGCCATTCCTTCCCGAATAACTGCCCTTCTCCCTCGAAAGAAGAAAGAAGAGAATGAACGAGAGAAAAACGAAGATTTATTCTAGAATTAAATACCTCGAACAAATACACCCTCGACTCGCCAGCGATCCCTTTTTCTTTCCGATTCATCCCTTGACCTCGTTTCCCCGGATCATGCTTTCCAACTTCATTGACCCATTAAGCCGATTTAAAATGCCGCCTTTAACCCCTCGATGACCGTGTTTTACGTCTCACTCTCGTTGGCCATAAAGAATTAAATTTTTTTATTTCAAGTCTTGATATAAATAGAAAATATAACGAGATATTTTATATCAAACATATCAAAATCCTTCATTAAATAATTTGCAATGT